ATATTAAGCTTATGCTTCACTGGTAGCCAGTTATTGAGTATTACCTACAGTACTGAGAAAAAGTCAGAGACCACCCCTTATTTATTTAATGTTTAGCCAAAATGTTATTTAACATCAAGACAAAGAACAAATACAGTGAAGTTCAAAGATCTGAGATCACACTGAATCTGTTTTTTTATTTAAATTTGGAAATAAACAACAGAAAGTTTTAGAGTCTTGAAAAATATAAAACAAAGAAAATTATGATAATTAAAATGAAGACGAAATATTTGAAATGTTGCAGCTTTTCTAGGTCTCTAGTCAAATTAAGAGAGAAAATCTCTGAAACTGACCGTTTCAAGGCCTTTGAACAAAAAGGTAATTTTTAGTCTTATTCACTTCCATTGAAGCTCATACTGAGATGAATCTGGATTTGATCTACTGATCTGAGGGTTTTACATTAACATGGACTTCATTAAAGCTGTCATTAACCCCTTAAATTCCCAGGCTAATTACACACTAAGGCTTATTATTCAGTAACTACAGGGACTTCTGCACATCCTGGCAGAGCTATTCTTAGGTTACAGAAGCGTGAAATAAAACTTTGGGCCTGAATTCTGAAGCTCAACTTTGCACTAAATTAGAAAGCATTGCAAAATAGAAGCATTTTCGGTAACACTTTCTATGAATGTCACCTTTATAAGCATCTATAAACACATTCATAACATGTTATAATGCATTCATAAGGCATTATAAACATGGCTATAAATATTTATAAATATGCATTACATGTTATAGCCATGCTTATTATGCATTATTAATTGTTAAGATAATACATTATAAGTACTGATCATAACAAATTATAAGAGCTCATAAGTGGTATTTGTCCGCTCTAAGTAAAGTGAAGCGTACTGTACTAAAGCCTCCTCCAGTGTTCAGAGTGAGGCTTCAAGTTGAAGTATTTACTGAAGGATTTACTGAAACACTAAAACATTCACAGTAAAGCACATTACAGGCTTCAAATGTCAGAGTTTAAACTAGAGCTGCCATCAGTGTTTTACCCAATGTGGGAAAGGTAATGTTCACCACCGTTAGCTTGGTATTTGTCTTTACTTTACGCTCTCCCAAGCTGGGACTGACTTCATTGGCATTGTTATAACACGTTATACTGTCACTGTCAAAGAGGTCAGTCCCAGCTTGGAGAGCGTAAAGTAAAGACAAATACCAAGCTAACGGTGGTGTACATTACCTTTCCCACATTGGGTAAAACACTGATGGCAGCACATAATGTTTATGTAACAATCTATGCAAATAAACATGGTATAACATGTAATGCATATTTATAAATATTTATAGCCATGTTTATAATGCCTTATGAACGCATTATAACATGTTATGAATGTGTTTATAGATGCTTACAGAGGTGACATTCATAGAAAGTGTTATCGCATTTTCCCAGTGGTCTCAGATCTTTAGACACCATATAATATCTTATTTTTCAGTATTTCGTGTGTCCACTCTTAGACTTTATCACAGCTTCCCTTCTTTTTGAAAGGCTTGCTTTTTGTTTTTCAAAGAAAAGAAAGGGATATTTTTCCACACCTCCAAAGTTCAGTCGTAGAAGTTGGTTGCATTTTCTGCCAAGTGATCCCAAACACATTCAGTGATGTTGAGGTCTGGACTCTGGGGTGGTCAGTCCATTGCTCAGCTTCTTTGTTTGATGTGTCCGTCTCCTTTTCTCAGTGAGGTTCTTCTCGGACAGCTACACATCCTTTCAGACCCACAGCGCTGAGTCGTCTTCTCACAGTGGAAGGATGGACAGAAACACCTGTGGATGTTTTCAGATCTGAAGCAGCTTGATTTTCTCCTCTCTCTCAGAGATGAAAGCTTTAAGTGCTGTTTATCTGATGGGGTCAGTTTTGGGGTCTACCAGCTCTTCCAGGTGGTTGTTAGGAGCCACATTTTCTCTATATATTTTAATACCTTTTTAAACTCCAGCTTTGTAAACACTAGGAAGAAGTAGGCACAATCAAAGTGAAATGAGATGTGATGCTAAGAGCATCAAGCAGTCTAATCCCAAGACCTGCTGTTTTGCTGTTGACCGTTGGACAAAAGCTGATAACATGGACCTTGAATCAATAGCAGAGAGATGCTATTGCCCAAAGGCAGCGCTGGAGTCACCATGACACGAATGAACTTTGGGCAAATAGAGCGGCTGCAGACGGCAACAAGGCAGGATGCTGAGGGGAGCAGAGAGCGCAGGTTGGAAAAGGTCATTACCTTGTAGTTAAGGGCCCCCCGAGTGATGAGTACGTCTGGATGTGGGGGAGGAAAAACATGCGATCAAGTGCTGCCATGCAGAAAATGCTTGTCCTCACCATACAAGCTAATGTCTGCAGGCTGCAGAAAAGGCAGATGACCAGGGGGTTGTCTAAGACCCCTAGAACTTTCATTTGTTCCCCAACACCACACAGACCAAGGCATTTGTGAATTATGAATGACGGAGAAGATTTTCAGCCCCTGACGCAAGGCTTTCAATAAACACGACCAGACCTCCCCAACAGACCCAGGGTGCCTGTTCTGTTCAGGACACATTCACCCAATTATCCACCCAAAGCACGTTTTAATCGCATTATATATCGCAGAGTGGGTCTCCAAAAATCTCAGTAATGACGTGAATGCGAAGATTGTGGAGGCTTGTCAAGGTCTGCAAAGCACGCCGCAAACAAGGTCCCCTCATAGAGCCATTCCATTCATCCCGAATTAAATAGCACCCGCTAAAACTGACCGCTGCCCAGTGCATGAGTATGACCGTAGGCCTTTTGAGGCGAGCAAGGACACTTGTTGCTGGAAGACCTTTCAAATAAATCATTGAATAAAAATAAATGAATGAATGAAACAGTTGTGCCCCACATTTCCATTCGGCCACACAAACTGCAGTCAGCATACAAGGACTTTGTTATCTCAACACAAAATGTTTAATATTGATATTTCCAGCCTGCAAGACAAACAGCTCGATTGTTGTAGTTGTTGTGACACTTTTCAGCAAACGATTTCATCCTAGCAGTTAAGATGAAGTGGTCTAGCTTTGAAGTCTTTGATCATCTTAACCAAAGAAATCAATGAATCAACAGCTTCCCACAATCATAGGGTTGCTGCAGATCATTAAAAAGGATTTTAAAATAACTTTGCTTTTAAAATTGAGTAACTAATAGAGGTATTAAATTCTAAGACTGTGGGTCCTGTGGTCAGAAACTGACCTGTGATGAGGCTGGCAGAGCTGGTAACAAAGTGGAACACTGAAAAGACAGAGCGGTTGGTTGAGCTAGATATAAAAGACGTATGCACTCTTAAAAAGCTGCATTCTTCAAGGGTTCCTTATGGCAGTGTTTTCATATAGAACCATTAAAAAACTCAAAGAATCGTTTGAATGCACAAAAGGTTTGTTTTGAATGGTTAAATAGCTCTTCTAAATGACGGAGTATGAGTACGAGTACGTCTATTAATGAACCTAAGAGAGTGATACGCATTAATAAATGGTTGAATGATGTAGCAACTAATCTTTAAGCAATGTCAGAAATAACGACTGACATTGTCAGATTTTATTAGGTAGTTTGTAATCATTACTAAATGCTTAAGTCATCTCTGAATTAATCATTACTAATGATGGTGATGATAACATTATTTGAGATCTTATGTAGTTTATTAATGTGTTAATTAATATGACTCAACAATGAAGACATAAATACCGTATTGAAGTTTATAACGTCTTAGATATTTACCACTTACATATGAAGATATTTAACACTTCATAAATGCATAAGAGCACAGAGTACGCAAATGTATAACGCACAAAATATTTAATAAGTATTACATAATTAATGTAGAATTTACATATATATATATATATATATATATATATTTGTATACATTTATAAATTATAAATTGATCCATTTATCTTGAAATTTACAGACAATGTAAAGGACAACATGCATTTTTAAATTATGTCAAAAACTGAAAAATGACAAAAATGGAGATACAAGGATTTTGTTATATATGTATATATATATATATATATATATATATATATACATATATAATATATGCTTTTGGAACAAATCCTCAATCCTCATATACACCGATCAGGCATAACATTCTGACCACCTCCTTGTTTCTACACTCATTGTCCATTTTATCAGCTCCACTTACTATATAGGTGCACTTTGTAGTTCTACAGTTACAGACTGTAGTCCATCTGTTTCTCTGCATACTTTGTTAGCCCCCTTTTACCCTGTTCTTCAGTGGTCAGTACCCCCATGGAATTGTCCACCAACCAAAAATATCCAGCCTACAGCATCCTGTGGGCAGCGTCCTGTGGGCAGCGTCCTGTGGGCAGCGTCCTGCGACCACTGATGAAGGACTAGAGGATGACCAACACAAACTGTGCAGCAGCAGATGAGCTATCGTCTCTGATTTTACATCTACAAGGTGGACCGACAAGGTAGGAGTGTCTAATAGAGTGGACAGTGAGTGGACACAGTGTTTAAAAACTGATCTGTCTGATCCACTCGTACCAGCACAACACACACTAACACACCACCACCACATCAGTGTTACTGCAGTGCTGAGAATGATCCACCACCCAAACAGTACCTGCTCTGTGAGGGTCCATGGGGGTCCTGACCACTGTAGAACAGTATAGGCAGTTGCCATTTATATATTTATAATTATATAAATATACCATATATATTTCCTATACCTATATTTAAAAAAATCTATCTGCTGAAGGAGCAGTTTGTTTCTGTATGAACACGGAAAAAAATCAGTTGTCTCCTCAGAGCTCTTGACCAAATGGATAACGCTGGTCAGGAGCGCATTTTTAAGTTTCGTTTCTGTCACGATTTTTATTATGATCCACAAGTCAACACCGCGCCAAACACCGCCACTCTGCGCTAAACTTTGACTTAAAGTTGGTGCGAATCTAAAGACTTCTGGCGTCTCGGCTCTCTGTCCTCCTTACCTGTCTGCGCTCAGAGCGGTGAGGGTGAAGACGGAGACCCCGACTGAAGTGAGCTGGATGACCGGGATCAGTTTGCAGGCGACGGTGCCGAATATCCACTCCTCAAAGAAATACCTGAACGCGTCCACCGGCACGCAAGTGACCAAGAGCAGGAGGTCTCCAACGGCCAGGCTGGAGATGAAGATGTTGGGCACGCTGCGCATGGCGCTGGTGGTGATGAAGATCTTCACGAGGGTGATGTTGCCCAGCAAGCCCACTGTTATGATGAGTATGTAGACGGACGGGATCACGCAGCGGATGATGAAATGGACGGTTTCCCTCCCGTCCGCTGTCCACTCGTCGGTGAAGTTGGTGTAGTCGGGAGTGTCGTTGGCAAAAGGCGAGTTTAAAGTGTCATCCATTGTTTTGCGCAGGGGGGAGGCGGGTTAGAGGGGAAGCTGGGGGGCTTGACGCTCCTTTGGGAGAAGGTTGGAGACGAGTGGCGCTGTCCGCTCAGCGCTGGTGCTGAAATGAGCGCTCGCAACTTGCAGACTGACTGAGGAGGGGAAGGTGGTGTGTGTCTGTGTGTGGGGGGGGCGGATTAGGGGAGTCACCGCGCGATGAGCGACTAAAAAAGTACCTCGCACGTTCTGATCGATTCCGTAGAAGAACCACTTTGGGTTCCCTAATGAACTAGACGCCTTGTTCGTAAATGAGATTTGCGAGTCTACACTTTAAAGAACCTCCACATCAAAGTTCTTTTCCCTTCTCCACCCTTAAAAATGGCTCTCCAAGGGTTCTTTAGTAAAGACAGTGGTTCTGTATAGAACCATGAACACTCATACACCCATTTGCATGCGTAAAGGGTTCTTTGCGTGGTGAAAGGGTTCTTCAGACTGGTGTAGAACGTGTTGTATGTGGTTCTGCATAGCACCAGAAACAGTTCTTGTTCAGCTGTTGCTACGATGTGAAGCTTGTGACAATAGAGGAACCCTTTTTGGTGCTAGATAGAACACGTTCTCCATCCATCTGAAGACCCATTTCACCACGCAAAGAGCCCTTTATGTATGCAAATGGTCGAGGGTTCATGGTTCTTTCAGAAGCACTGTCTTTACTAAAGAACCTTTGAAAAGCCATTGTGGATTCCTACGTCCATTTAAACCTCTGTTGTTCATAAAAAAGTGCCCCCAGCTCCTTTTCTTCCCTCCCTTTTTCTCTTCTAGCCAAATATGCCAGGTGAGGAAAACATCACTATCAGGCCGTGTAGCTTTTTTATTATCCAGGAATGAATTATAACAAAATCACCTGAATTTACTGGGGTTTCAGTCAAATGTGGGAGCCACCTGTAACCCCACCTGAGGAGCACAAACTGGATGCCTCCTGTGGCTCTTCCTCAGAGAGGGTCTGCTCCTTTTGTGCCACTCTCTGGATCACAAAGGGACGTGAGTGAAAGGAAGAATCCAATAAATACGTAATCAGAGAGGCAGCGGTGACTGAGGAGCTGAAGAGCAGACAGGCTGCACAGCTAGGAAAACAGAGAGAAAGGCACGCCACCCTCACTCACCTCCACCTGAAGGATACAGTGGCCTTTGATGTTCTTTTTGAGTTCGGATATCTATACATGATTTAAGAAATTCTAACTTTCACTTTACTTTGTTTGTTTGTTTGGCTGGAGGTTAGGGAACCAGTGACCGAAAGGTCGCCGGTTCGATCCCCAGACCTGACAGGACATGACTGAAGTGCCCTTTAGCAAGGCACTTAACCCCTACCTGCTCCCCGGGCGCTGTGGATAGGGCCACTCAGCGCTCTGGGCAAGTGTGCACACTGCCCCCTAGTGTGTGTGTGTTCACTAGTGTGTATGTGGTGTTTCACTGCACTGATGGGTTTAATGCAGAGGGGAAATTTCCCCATTGTGGGACCAATAAAGGGAAACTTAACGTAAACTGTACTTGACTGGGTTTCTACAGCGAACTTAAGTCATTAGCTATGATTAAATATTATGTACTATCTAGTTCCTTTGCCTCACTGTGTGAGTTGGAACCAACATCCTGCATGTTGTTCTACCAAATGACTGAAGGCAATTGAGAAAATATGATGGACTGAGCACGTCCATGTGTTGGTTTACTGACATCTGCTGGCGAATAGTGGGAATGACTCAAGATTACAGACCACACATTAAACCTGAGTCCTTTCTTGAATACAACAGTCTAATAATGTTGTATGTATGTAATGTTGTTAAGTGGTATGTAGATCTATAAGCCTCAGGTGAGATCTACGTCATTTTTCCCACTAGAATATGAAATTTAAAAACAAATAAGATGCTAGAAAAGTCTAGAAAATCAACACAAGCCTGACGAACCGGCCACTGTGTCAGTGTCAGTCTGGACAGTCTGGACAGAGAAAAAAACTGCACAGTTGCCTTATTTCCCACCCGTATTCCGACAAGCCCCGCCCCTTTCTCTCTGATTGGTTCAAACGTGCCCATTCGACCTGGGTAGATATGACTTTGACACAGTAAACAAACAATATTCCTTTATTGTCACAACAAAGAAATATTCCTTTTGAAGGGTAACACTATGAATCAGGACCCACACCTGGATGACGTCAGCTCCAAAGCTCACCTGTGACTGTTTAAAGAACTGCAGCCCGGCTAAGCATGAGCAAAGCGCGCTCTGACGCCACTATACGTTTGCCTGAACTGACTCCAGTGAACAGCATTGTGGACGTTGAGTCTGGCGCGTTCTCAGCGCTGTTCTCGTGTTTCAGCCAATCCCGAGCGAGGACGCGAGAAAATAAAAACGCACCCCCTTGGAGACCCCACGTGCTCGCGGTGTGTGCGTTCGGCCTTAGTTTGGATAATTGGCGGCGCGCGGCTGAACAGTGCTGCAGCTCCGCGCGCTCACAGATGCCCCGCGTCCCCGCGCGCTCTCTCCGCTCTGTGACACGAAGCCGCGCGCTGGGGCCCCAACATGCCGCTCTCGCAGCAGCTCATCCCGCCCCCGCAGCGCGCTGACATGAGAGCAGGACCCGAACTCTGACTGAGAGGTGGGGATGAACAGCACTGCGCCCGGACTACGGTTGGTGTGTGGAACTTTTCATACCCCGCTTTTCCTTTTCTCTCCTTCTTTTCTGGTGAACAAATGGAGAACAAGGTGTAGTTTCCTGAGGGCGAGGAGGAGAGGAGGAGAGGAGAGAGGAGGAGAGGAGGAGAGAGGAGAGGAGAGGCCACGGAGCTGAAACGGCCTTTCAGAAATGTTTTACAAAGTCGAGAGACCGAATTTCTCTCAAGCTACAGAAGTCCGGAGAGGCCATGAGCTCTTGCCGTAATTTTCTGGATTGTTATCTTGAGACAACAAGATAAGTAACTTGTTATTTTGAAGATAACAAGATAAATAACTCATTATCTCGAGATAACAAGATAAATAACTCGTAATTTCAAGATTACAATTTGTTATTTTGAAGATAACAAGATAAATAACTCATTGTTACAAGATAACAACTTTGTTATCTTGAGATCATAAGATAAGTAACTCATTATTTTGAAGATAACAAGATAAATAACTCATTATAACAAAGTTGTTATCTTGAGATCACAAGATAAGTAACTTGTTATTTTGAAGATAAGACAAATAACAACAGATAACAACTTTGTTATCTTGATATCAGAAGATAAGTAACTCCTCATTTTGAAGATAATAAGATAAATGACTTATTATCTCAAGATAACAACTTTGTTATCTTGCGATACCAAGATAAGTAACTCGTTATTTTGAAGATAACAAGATAAATAACTCATTATCTCGAGATAACAACTTCCCAGAAAAGTATAACCCCCTCATGGCCTCTCTGGACCTCTGTACGACAAGCCAACTACATTTTCCTCTATTGCAGGCGATAACTTCACCCTGCTGTAACATCAAGTAGCCAAACAGTTGTTTTCCAGTTGAAAATTAGCACAGTTTTAGGCCCGAAATGGAAAACCAATCAATGTTGTAACCCCTCCTTCTTATACACGTTACCCCCAAATTAGTCTCATCATAAAAGCCAAACAAACGTGTCTTTTTAGATGTTATACTGACAGATAAGTGTTGGTGGCCGCTGTGCAGTGCTGGGCTCTATTATGCGCAGCTCTACTCTGAAGTGACGCGGCTGCATTGTGCCCTGTTGCATGTCCGCTCTCCTCTATTGTGCGTTACAAGAGTTGGGTTTTCGCTGACTGAGTCGGATGGGGATTAGCCTATGGGCCGACCACATGCCCCGCGCCTTTGTTTTTTCCTTTTTGTTGCTTTTTTTTTGCACCGAGTGACTAAATTGATGAGGGCACCGCGGATAAAAGAGAAATATGCATTGACAGGGGCTTTCTAAAGCGAAAGGTCATTAGGTGGAGGTGCAGGCGTGCCTGAGGCAAAGGCACTGGCAATGAGGGCCACACGCTGCGACGCAGTCAAAGGGAATTTGTTGGCTGAGTCATGTCTTTGAACTACATCAAAAACTTTTACGAGGGATGTGTAAGTATACGCAAACGAAAGAGCGGCTCTGGATGCTCGTTTTGGGGTTTCTTTCCAGGCTTAAAGGATTTGAGATTAATATTTCGGATTATGCTTTTTATTAGTTTCTTGATGGACTTGCATCGTGACTGATCTCAGCACAGTGATGCGCTGTATTGTATGTGGTTATTACACTGTTATTACGACACTACTTACCACAGCACAGGCAGAAAATGCTGGACAGTCAGACTGCTGCTCAGATGGCTCTGCGTTCGCTGCTTGCTGTCCTGCTCTTGCGATTAATGCAGCCACAGCAGCGCATTGTTAATCTCTCTCCTTTTTCCCCAGCTCAGGCCTCCGACAGTGATAGGCCAGTTCCACACACTGTTCTTCGGCTCTGTGCGCATGTTCTTTCTCGGGGTCCTTGGATTCGCCGTCTATGGCAATGAGGCCCTCCATTTCAGCTGCGATCCGGACAAAAGAGAGCTAAACCTCTACTGTTACAACCAGTTCAGGCCTATAACACCTCAGGTAAAAGTCTTATAAATGTATTTTTGGTGTTAATAGTCCATTAAGCCAATGACAACCTTGTGAACTGAATCTAAAGTGCAGACCATGTAGAAACTGCATTTACAGGGTTTAACTGCCTGTGAAAGTAGTTACATCAATACTAAAAGTAATTCTAAATGTAATGATTTCATGAAAGGAGACATTTTTTCTGTGTTATAAGTTTTATTTTTGTTTATTTATTTATTTATTTAAAGAGAACATCACATTTCTTAAAAAACAATGGGCATTAAAACACAATAAAAGTCTTATTTCCACTGGGATCTTCATCTGTCCACCTGTGGAAATCCTTATTTCTTCAAACAACAGACGTTCAAGGTGATGGAGGCAAGTTAAACGTCCCCAAAGGCAAGGAAACTCAGTTTAATCAGGCTTGGACTCAATCCAGAGCAGTCTGGTTCATCCAATTGGCTACAGCGCTCCGAACGAGAGTCACCTTATTCAGTATCTCTCTGCACAAAACAACTTTGTTTCAGTTTGCGCCAGATTTTTGCTGATGTGTCAAAAAATTACGTGTAATGATTAATCAGCTTCCAGTGAAAAAATGCCCTGAGAATAAATCAAACTGACACATTGGCCTTTTGAAACCTTTTTCCCTTGCATATTAACATATAAATATAATCCAATTCTGGATGTCTTTCATCATTAGCAGCATCAGATTTTAAGTATGAATTAATTATGTAATGACATACACTATATTGCCAAAAGTGTTCACTCACCCATCCAAATCACTGAATTCAGGTGTTCTAATCACTTCCATGGCCACAGGTGTATAAAACCAAGCACCTAGGCCTGCAGACTGCTTCTACAGACATTAGTGAAAGAATGGGTCGCTCTCAGGAGCTCAGTGAACTCCAGCGTGGTACTGTGATAGGATGCCACCTGTGCAAGTCCAGTCGTGAAATTTCCTCACTACTAAATATTCCACAGTCAACTGTCAGTGGTATTATAACAAAGTGAAAGCGATTGGGAACGACAGCAACTCAGCCACGAAGTGGTCGGCCACGTAAAATGACAGAGCGGGGTCAGCAGATGCTGAGGCGCATAGTGCGCAGAGGTCGCCAACTTTCTGCAGAGTCAATCACTACAGACCTCCAAACTTCATGTGGCCTTCAGATCAGCTCAAGAACAGCGTAGAGAGCTTCATGGAATGGGTTTCCATGGCTGAGCAGCTGCATCCAAGCCTTACATCACCAAGCGCAATGCAAAGCACCGAATGCAGTGGTGTAAAGTGCCGCCACTGGACTCTAGAGCATGTTATACACGTTACCCCCCAACTTAGTCTCATCATGAACGTGTCTTTTTAGAAGTGTGCTTTTGAAAGAATGGTCAAAAATTCCCATAAACACTCCTAACCCTTGTGGAAAGCCTTCCCAGAAGAGTTGAAGCTGTTATAGCTGCAAAGGGTGGGCCGACATCATATTAAACCCTATGGATTAACAATGGGATGTTCGTATGTGTGTGAAGGCAGACGAGCGAATACTTTTGGCAATATAGTGTATTAATATAAAACTTGTCTCCACTGATTTCAACTAATTGCTTTGTCCTTAAAAAGTAATAACCAAAACAAGATTCTTCTCTTTTCCTTCCAGGTATTCTGGGCATTGCAGCTCGTTACTGTATTGGTGCCTGGGGCTGTGTTCCATCTCTATGCTGCCTGTAAAAATATCGATCAGGAGGAAATCCTTCAACGGCTCATTTACACGGTCTTTTACATCATATCTGTCCTGTTGCGGATCGTTCTGGAAGTCGTAGCGTTTTGGCTCCAAAGCCACCTCTTTGGATTCCAGGTTCACCCTCTGTACACGTGTGACGCCAGTGCCCTTGAGAAGATGTTCAACGTCACCAAGTGTATGGTTCCTGAGCACGTTGAGAAGACCATCTTCCTCAGCGCGATGTACACCTTCACCATCATCACCATACTGCTCTGCGTTGCTGAGATTTTTGAGATCCTCTGTCGAAGGCTGGGCTTCTTAAGCCAACCAGTGACTTGAGATTTGGCCAGATTGATTTGAGAGGTACTTCTATCGTACTTATCTTGGATGTCTGATTGACAGAGAGGACAAAATACATCCCTCTCATCCTTCTGTTGGTAGACATAATGAAGGCACATACATTGTGCTCAAACCCAGTTACCTACTTCCACGCACTCCATTCAGAGGGGTACAGTTGTAGCAGGTACAGCATCATCAGTATCCTAATGGCCTTGACTAAATCATGTGAAGGTCTTGAAACTGGCTTATTTGTTAAGGTGGTATACACTATGAAAGACCACCAGACCAGTATTGTGAAGCTTAATGCAAAATTAGTTTGGAATTTTTTTTAGATACTATGGTAGAAATTTTGAAGAATGTCTTGAATATGCATAATCTAAAAAAATTTAATATTATCCCTACAACAGAAGTAAACCATATCCAGATCTATATGCAATACTAAATAAGCATTGCTGCTCAGCGGTGTTGCTTTAAAAATGCATTACACAGATTAAGCTACCAGCTGATCTAGTAATAGTTACGCAGCCTAGGGACCGTTAATGTAGGGGACACCAGGCAACGGCGGCTCGTCTGAATGGAAGATGTCTAGTGGAGCTCAGTAGCCCAACGCCTTTAATAACTAGATGAATACTAGAATTGCTACCTTGATTTAAATCAAGTGGAAGGTAATAGAGACCTTGCACCAAACTATTTCACTGTGTGGAGCAGAAATAATGGAACTACAGTGAGATTCATTCGAAAGAGGCCCCGAATATTTTGTAATAACTCTCGCTAATCTGAACGAAACAACGTGCAATGTGCTCCTCAGTATATGGAGCTTCAAACGAGCTGGGATGCCCTTGCATTGGAGCGATGAGGTAGGCGCCGTTGTTCAGGCAAGGAACGTTGTTCAGGGAAGGAATGTTCAGGAACATGGAGCGCCACATCGAAATGTCTCTGGCAGAAAACGGAGATCATTTCCAGCATCACATGTAATGCGATCGATTACACATACGTCAAGGTTTGTAGCGTATTTGTTTGGTTCAGATTGCTTCATCCTAACGGGGGTTACAACAGAATATTTGGGGCCTCTTTCGAGTGAATCTCCCTGTAGTTAATCTACTGCACACAACTGGGAAATGTTAGCAATTAAGAAGCTTGGCTACTTCCGGAGAGGTTCACACTGTGCTTGTTTACTGAGAACCGAGGTGCCTATCTTCTGTATTTTTTCAGTGGGAGAGACGCGTTTTTGAGCTCTTGCATCACCGAAAAAAGTTCAACTCAAAGTGATCAGGTGGCCGTCATAAGTTTTTTTCCTATGCTGACCAATCAGATCAGAGGAAAGGCAGGCGGTCAGTGACGGTTGTATTGGAGAGGTCAATGGCTACAGTCCTTCATAGATTGAAATCATCACATAAACAAAAATCAGCTTCTTTTTTACTTTAGCTAGCTTTGCTATCAGCATCATTTTTGCTAAATGATAGCAGTGGTTAAACTTGTTGCCTGTAAATATCAAAACAATATCTTTTTAGCACGGCTGACCGACGTTTACCACACTGTGGTTGTTTGGCGAGACACACAGCCAGAACACACCTTCAAAAAATGCACTTTGAACCTTCAAGAAAAGAAAAAAGAGCGCAGTGTACCTCACGTTTTTTCCACCTTAGGAAAAATGCAGTTTGGACTCCCCTCTAGCTAAGCACTGTTAATGTGACCTACCAAGACACAGCCTGCACCAACACTGGGTATCCCATCAGTGCAGCCTTGGCCGCGTTCACTTCTGGTCATTTAATATTAATGATATTGACTTACATTTTGTGTTGAGTCTCTTTGAGAATGATTACCTCTTTTGTTTGGTTTTATTTGTATCTGTAAGGTAATATCAGGCATCCATCCAACTTTTGTTATTATTCTCAGCTAAATGTATCATCTCAGGTACAACATGGCATACTGTGAACAGGTATTTGTCCCCTATCAGGTGGTCTTTCTGTCTTCTCTGCTATTTACCTCTACAAAATCCCAATGAAGAGTTTTTTAATCCAACTATTCTGTCCACCTGTTTCATAAGGGCTACAAACAGCAGGACATTTTTAACCAGTTATAACGAGGTTTGGTTTTTATACCAGATTCTGCTGCGCTAATAATGCGTGGAACTCTTCATAAAGGTAAAACAGTAGGAGCACATTTTTATGACCACTCTGAATGTTTAGTGACGTGCTTTATGTAAAGTAGTTTGTAGTCAGGATTTTCCAGAGCTGCTTGTGTGTTCATGGATCTCTTCTAGTTGCAATGGTTTTCTTACGTCCATGAAGAAGTGTCTGCTAAACCAATTAAAATGATATTTATAGTATCTGTGTGAGTTTTCACTGCTTCCCCCAAAACGTTCGCATCAAGTTATCTGTCTTTTAAAATGAATTTCACAGATTTTTCAAGGTTTCTGCACAAAGATTGTGGCTAGAACTTTTAGACTAGGGTGGCACACTAATAGGATAAAGTACTGTAGTGCTACTGCAAGATAATGATGTAAAAGTGGTGCATGGTTTTTATCTATATAGCTAAATCTGTCCATCATTTCCATATGGATAAAAAATTACATCAACACAAATATCGCCAAGTAAGCTGAAAACAAAACTGATTCAGTGCATTTGATTCGTTCATGAGAAAATCCTGTATTTGTATGAAGTAAGTTAAATGCATCACCTTTTTCAGTGTAGATTAACATTAACATTAACTTTAAGAAAAATGTTTCATGTAGAGAGGCCAGAGGAGTTACTCATGTAGGCCCTCGTTATACATGAGTCTAATGATTAGAAAGCAGGACAGACAGTAGAGTCATTCTACAGAAATGCCCATTTTTGTGTCCCTAGGCTTTACAGATATATTACACTTGAAAAACATGCTAGGTTTACAATTTATTCATATTTTCATATGAAACAATAAATTATTTTAACAGTTACACCTTCTTGAGCCTCAATTTATCAATATTGATTTTTTAAATCAATCATATAGAATTCCAAGCACCACAGAAGAGCTCGTCCTCACAGTCATGTGTAAAGGCTGAGGCCATATTTTGAGGTAAAAAAGCAGTTTTAACTGCAATAATCTATACATGACTCTATACATAAACAGGTCCAGAAGGTGGTCGAGCAGTGGCCACCCAAGCAAGGCAGATGAAGCAACAGCATCAGGCCGCACAGGATGGGCGGCTGTTCAGCTCGACAAAGAAACACAGACAGTTGGTTCTGTTTGGGGTGACTGAGAACAGCATATAGTGCTGGCAGAGTTTGAGCAGTGACTCCGACAGGCCTGGCTATTACAGCCCTCTAACAACAACACATTCTGTCTCTAACTAAGCACATCGTGTTTTCAGTCAGAGACGACATATTTTGAGTTACTTAAAACACATAATGTGTTGAAATATTACTGTGCCCACTTGCAGATAACACAGTTTGTGTTACTTTTAACACAGAGTATGTTAAATCAGAAAATAACATGACACAGAAAGTGTAAAAACAGGTAACACAAGTAAGTGCGTGGTTATTTAACTGAGTCATTCTACAGAAACGTCCATTTTGGTGTCCCTAGGCTTTACAGATATATTAAATTTGAAAAACATGTTAGTGTTACAATTTATGTAGATTTTAAAATAAAACAATAAGTTATTTCATCAATTACACCTTCTTGAGCCTCAATTTAGCAATATTGGTTTGTAAATCAATCATATAGAATTCCAAGCACCACAGAAGAGCTTGACCTTACAGTCATGTGTGAAGGGTGAGGCCATATTTTGAGGTAAAAACTGCAGTAATTTATACATATTATAGGAATCTATAATTATTATAAACAATGTATAATTGTTTATAATTATATTTGTAATAAAACTAATAATAACTATAATTTATAAATATTATAAAATATATAATGAAAGTTGTCCCCAGGAGTCGTGTCACTGGTGTTACCGCGTAACAAAAAGTCTCTTATTTTGAAATAAAAGTCACACTGATGACATCACTTGACTTCCTTTTACCTGTTTTCTGAGGATCTATGAAGAAAAGCACATGGTGAGTCCACTGAGTCTCTCAGTTATCAGAGATTTTCTCATTTAGCTCATGATTTCATATGAAGCTTTTAGCTGAAGTCACTGGTGCGACCGACTTTATTCTGAGGTCATTGTGAAAAAATAGAATACAAATGGATTAAATTCCATATTTTAGTGGATATTCCATGATTGACAACATGTGGTTTGATACTCTGTAGCAGCCAGTTTGTAAAATTCATTTTTCATTAAAATGTCTCTGGTGTTCCTTTATTATGTGTAACACCATTGAGGATCGGTAACACCAGTGACTCCTATGGAGAGATAGAAAAGTGGACGTTTCTGTAGAATGACCCAGCACTATATAAGGTAAGAGAGAACAGACTGTCCTCACTTTAGCGCAGACTTATTCCACAGGTGGAGTTTAGCCTACCACACATGCATGTATTCACCTGTAAAAAGTGAGCTGAATGATAAACAGAGCAGCACGACTGAAGTGACCCAGCGCACATTCACTCACCTGCTCCACAAATAAGCAAATCACAGCAAGATACACTAATTATGTTCACACCTCACAGACAGGACGACTTTTTTATCTAGTGACTGCTTTATTGATGACTGACTGTCCCACTTTTTATAACTGGGGGTTCTTTAATAAAGGGAATGGTTCTACTTAGAACCATGACATTTCATGCTTAAAGGTGCAGTGTGTAAGATTTAAGCAATAGAAGATGAGAGGGAGTGTGTTATCGTGAAATAACATCCCAGATGTGATTTGGTCGCCGTAGATCATCACAGCCGTGATGTTATTGGCGATAACACACTCCTCGAGTGTTCTATTGCTTTAATACAACAGGTAAATAAATAAAGTAATAAATTAATAAACTGGGCTGTGAACGCGGCGTTTAATATGTTTTAATGTTCACAGTTCCTTCACCAAATTATAGTTCCTTAATGAGCAGCTTGTAGCTACGTCAGAGTAACG